ATCCTCTAAGGATTCAGGAAATGTCTAATATGCCCATACTTTATCATTGTGAATCAATATTATGAGCCCTAAATCAGAACAATGACTGGCAGAAATCTATCTCATTGCAGCTTGTAATGGAATGTGACGGGGCTAGAACAAGATCAAATGTAATTTGTAACAGTATACTCTGAAAGAGATTAATTTTGTATCTTTAAAATCAATGTTTACTATGTTTTATAAAACAATTAAAAAATAAATAAACCGAATTCAAAAAATTAAGTACCAGTACTTCGCTCACTCATACAGTGATTTTATAGGTCGCCTGTCGCCTGCCTGCTGCATCTTGTCCTCCAGCACCTAGACTCCTCAGGCACTTTGGCCAGGATCCTCTTCGTGGACTTCAGCTCCGCGTTCAACACCATCCAAAGGCACCTGCTCATCCAGAAGCTACATAAACTCAACACTCATTCTGATCCATCTCCTGCACAACTTCCTCAGCGACAGACGGCAAGCTGTTCGGGTAGGCACAACTACATCACCTACACTCATCACCAACACCGGAGCCCCTCAGGGCTGTGTGCTAAGCCCTTTCCTCTACACCCTGTACACCAATGACTGCACCAGCCCCTCTCCCACCCCCACCTACCTCAAATACTCTGACGACACTGCCATCCTCGCCCTCCTATCAGACAATAACTCTGTATCAGACGACCATAACACTGTCACACATTTCTCCCAATGGTGTAAACACAACTTCCTCCATGTCAATGTAGCCAAAACAAAAGAAATAACAATAGGCACCCCATCACCCCATCCCCCCACTCTCATCAACAACGATACAGTTGAAACAGTTGACAGCTTCAAATACCTTGGACTCACACTAGACAATAAACTCACTTTCGACCAGCACACAACGGACATTCAAAAAAGGAGCCATCAAAGACTGTATGCCATCCTTAAACTCAAAGGACTCTATGTTGCCCCCCATCTCCTCCTGCTGTTGTATCAAAGTATTGTCCAGCCCATCCTGCTCTACTGTGCCACTTGCTTCTTTAACATGTTCACTGTCAAAAACCAGGTCAAGCTCACACGTGTCACAAACATAGCTGCCAAATTAATTGGTCTCCACACCCACACTGTCAGAGCTGAATCTCAAGGCCATCTCACGCATTGCACTCACAATAGCACTGGACAACACACACCCACTCAACTGCCACTTCACCATTATGCCCTCTGAACATAGGTACAGGTCCCTGTTGTGCAGGAGGGCTCGATATGGCAAAAGCTTGGTGCCTGAAGCCATAGCAGCCCTCAACAAAAGGCCAAAATAAAAACACTCCAGTCCCACTCTGTCTATATAGTTGTATGCATGTTATCTTGTTGTGTTTGTCCATCTGTGATTATCTGTCGGCGTGCTGTCCATAACTGTACTGTGAAGTAGAAAATAATTTCCCCTTGGGGACAATAAAGTAAAGTCTAAAGTCTAAAGTATTCAGCTCAGGAAGCTGTTTCCAGTTTAAACACACTACTGTTCTATCATTCAAATAGGAAGCCCACCCAACAAGTCATCAACTGGCTTAGCATGGTGGAGATAAGACTACTTGCTAAAAAGGCAGACATTTCCCTAAAAAACACAACTAGACAGAGACCAAAACAGCGCTAAAAGGAAGCACATATTGGACACACTTTTGTCAACATCAGAATCAGAATCAGAATCGGGTTTTATTGCCAAGTACATTTACACATACAAGTAATTTGTATTGGGTGTAACAAACAGTTAACAAAGGAAATAACGCAAAAATAGCAAGAACTTAAATAATGAAATATAAGAAACATAAACTTACTGCTAATTTTGCTACGAAACTGCTTCACAACACAAACTCAGTGTTGTGTCTATAACAATGTACATACATTTTAACCTGCAACGTTCAAATATAAATCAAGTATATAAATATAGATTGGCAATTTAGCGATTATGCTCTGTCACTCGCATTTCTGTAGCCTATGCTAGTTATAGGATAGGATAGGATAAGATAGGATAGGATAGGATAGGATAGGATAGGATAGGATAGGATAGGATAGGATAATACTTTATTGATCCCCAGAGGGGAAATTTGAACGTTGCAGCAGCAAAGACAAGTAGAAGAAGCTATGGGTAGCAGAAGGTTGGCTTAGCTTAGCAAAAAACGACTGAAAGTTTAAAACAGCTTAGCTCTGTTCAAAGCTTCTTAGCTTTGAAAAAACTGTTAGCATTTATGAATAATATATATGTTTTCAGGGAGTTTTTTTATGGTAGTTGCTTTTTGTTTTATCAGAGCAGGGCTAGCAGTTTCTGCTTGTTCACCAAGCTAGCTAACTGTCTGCTGGCTCTAATGTAGGCCTACAGAAATGAGAAATGTGAAATCAAACCTTCTACTAGAAAGAAAATAAAGTAAGCATATTTTCCACACTGTGTTACTATTTCCTTTTTAAAGTTAGGCTCCTCTTTAATTTTGGGCTTTCCATTGTCTCATTTAACTCTAAGCAAGAGTGTAAAAGCATATAAACCAAAAGTGTCACCAAGCACGTTTCCCAAAACAGTATTTAGACGGAAACCTATAATTTAGTTTGTATACTTGTATGCAGAGAATTTGGAGGATTAATCCTGGTAGCATTTCAGATTCCTGTGCCTCACACAGGGCATGTTCAGGCTCCCAGCTGCTGTCTCATGCTCTGTTTTCTATGCCATGCAATTATTCTGGTTCCCACCGGAGGTTAGTATTGGGTGGAGCTCAACAAGGAGTTAGCTGAGGCATTATCTGCTCCTCACTGGGCATAACTCACAAATACAGTCAGAAGTCGCATGCAAACAGAGTGCACCGAAGCACAAAAGAAAATAAACCATAAAAATAACTGCTGCACAGGAAACGGCATTGCAGGATAACTGGATAAGGCACAAAGAGACACCACCCATAATTCTGTTACTGATTCACGTGAGAAATGAAAAATGACTGCTGAGTACAGTAAGACTTTACAGATTTCAGTTCAGACACACACAACTCTTTGAACCCTTTCAGAGATAAACAGCAAGCTGATCCCTGGGCTAAGAAAACATCCAACAGATTTCAAATGAATCCCCTGAAGACATTCTGAGCCTTTTCCCTCTTTCACCCATCTAGATAATGCTTTTTATTTCATTTTATGGCTTGCAGTAGGCGTAAATCAAAGAAAATGGGACCATGACTTGAAAGAAAAAGAAAAAAAGAAATGAAGAAAGAAAGACAGAAAGAAAGACAAACAGAAAGACAGACAGAAAGACAGACAGAAAGAAAGACAAACAGAAAGACAAACAGAAAGACAAACAGAAAGACAAACAGAAAGACAGACAGAAAGAAAGAAAGAAAGAAAACATTTTAGGGGAAAACAAAATAAAACATTGTCTGTAGTGGTTGTCGGCTTTTGAATTGGTGCAAAATCTCTCCCACTGTGGATCTGACATATAGATGCATTATGATGCATGTCTGTTGCATCTCTGGGTGGGAACAATGGTCTAAAAAGTGGACAGTCAGTAGGTTTCAGGGTCTCATTCTCGTAACAACAGGTTTGTTGTGAGGGCAGGCTGGTAATGCCTGGCACTGAGGCTGCATCCTTGCAGTGGCCTCTCATTCCCACTGAGTGCACTGTCCGCCGCCATGGATGAACTTTGTTTTGTAGTCTGGAGCGCCCTCTGGTGGCGGAAGCCTGAGTCACTTGGTAAAATAGGTTTTTTTAAGTGTCCTGTGGTAAATGTGCTACTTATTTGATGTTTTAAAATGTAACAATTCAAAGAAAGAAAGCAACATTTGATGGAATTAATTTTCTAAAATACCATCCTTCCTTCAAGTACAAAACAGATAGAGTTAAAAAATAGAGTAAATTCTTTCACATTGTCTCTGCAGACATTTACATTTATTTGAATCAAAAGTTATATTAAATGAGAACATCACCAGTTGTATGCATGTAGATCTTGTAAAAGTTGTACAACATCTTTGTTACACTACCTGAGCCTTAGAAATTAAAAATGGTGACGTCATCGGGGTTGTCTATCATTCAACTTGGTCAATTCAACTCAATTCAAACTACTTTATTAATCCCTCTTGGTGCAATTGGTGTGGAGCAGCTTGTACACATGAGAAAGAAACACAAACTGTCTTGTTATGAAACAAGAGATCATTTTATAAACTTTAGGCAGATGTTTGAGAGGTGCGTGTTTCCCAGGAAAGACGGGTCAACACCCTGCTGAGTTGCATTATGGGAACTGTAGGGACTAGAGAAGATGGTAATACTAAAAACTATAAGTTAGGATAAGTTTTCTTCTGTTGTATCGAATCAGACCATTCCTTATTCATCATAAATCTGTGCCATGCAGAAGTAAACAACAATATTAAACTTCTACGATCCACTTATCTCTGGTTCAGAACAGAAATATCATTTTTATCTCTGATTTACCTCTATATATGCATTGAAGGACATATTTTTGCAGACACAAACAAGTAATGTTTCTCTTTGGAGAATGCCTCAGCATTTGTTGCTGTAAAGAAAGAAACTGCCAGAACATAAACACCTCCCACACAAACATGGCCTCTTACAGTATATGCACAGTATATGCACAGGACACAACACACACACACACACACACACACACACACACACACACACACACACACACACACACACACACACACACACACACACACACAACAACAACAACAACCAAAGAGCACATCAACTGCCTACTTGTGTCATTTCTTCTGCATGGGTTCAACAGAGGCGTCAGCAACAAAAGATCATAAATAAGCATTAAAGAATTAGATATTTGTTTTGCAGCTAAATACATCCTGAAGATTGGACAACACCCTGAACCACAGTGGCCACATTTTGAACAAAACAGTCTCCCTGCATCTTTTCTCTGTTTCTTCCTCGGTTGCTCTCATGACTGCAGCACCCTGACAAGACTTCACCCTGATAAGAGCTCTGCAGAACCCAGCAGTATAATCTTCCATCTGCACTAATGTGAGCCTTTAACCCTGTTCCTCTTCAACCTCTCTCTCTTCATTTTGTTTTAGGCTTTACTGCTTGTGCAATAGTCAATAATTCATAGTCAGCGACGTTGCCTACAGGTCCTGGTGCAGAGAAAGCAGCTCAGCTCGTCATTCCTGCAGTGTGCACTCTAGCAGCAGCTCCTGAGAGAGATACAGAGAAAGCTCGCACGGATTCAAGGAAGCTGCACACCGAGGACACACAGGACGAGCCTCACTCCCCCTCCCCTGCTTTCTCTCTCATGCTGTCTCTTCCAGCCCTGCGCTCAGCATTATCAGAGCTGCTGGTGTAGTAGGCAGGCTGATCACTGCCTCCAAACAAGCCACTTTTCACACAGGAGAAACTTCAAGAAGCTAAAGGATGCTGGATCCCAAACAGAGATGGATCAGGCTGATCTGCTTGTCGCTCCTATGTCTGTGTCTCTGCCTGCCGAGGGAATCGAACGCCAGGAGAGCCCCCAAGATCCCCCGCTGTCCTGCGACCTGCTCCTGCACCAAAGACAGTGCCTTCTGTGTGGACACCAAGGCCATCCCTAAGAGCTTCCCACCAGGAATCATCTCTCTGTGAGTGCAACGTTTGTGTCTGTGTGCTCACCGCAAGCATCTTTTCCTAACCTGTATGAGGTCTCAGCAGTGTGCAGGCTGGTACAGATGGCTACATCACTGATGTCACCCTACATTATGTAATGAAGCATGAATCCCTGCTTGTCTTTTAATAGCTAAACGTGAAGACAGGTAGTTCTCTTGCTGATGTTTTCTTCAAGCATCCTTTCTTAACAGTTGCAGGGAGTTATTCCAGACCACATTCCAAAAAAAGTATAAAAAAAAGATGTGCCTTTACTATTCCATTTGTTGAACTTATTTGAGGGATCACAGCGGTATAATCCTGTCGAGCTCCAGGGAGGGACACTAACAATAGATTCTCTCACTGCAGGAGACCAGCTTCTCCTCTGAGAGATTTAATCTTTACGAGGATAACAAGATATGTTCAATCAAGTGAGCACAAAGGATTAAAAACAGGGGAGGTTATCTTATACTGAGAAGGTTACAGAGTGCGCCTTTACATCTGATGTTGGATTGCATTTAGAGTTGAACAGTCAAGGGAATAACAGAGCACAGTCTGGTTGAGGTGCCCTCGTTTAGAGAACAGAGAAGAAGTGAAGAAGAAACTTATGTGTCCCAGTTTCTAAAAGATTTCCCCTCCCTTAAGAGAGGGGGGGGGGCTTCAGGAGACTTAAGAATGACTTAACAGATCTGTGGATGACACATGAAACACATGACGTCATATACGTTTCAGCTATGGCTCAGTCTGTGTCATCATGGCAACACGTCGTGATAACTAAACTTCTTTTTTCTTAACAGGACGATGGTGAATGCAGCCTTTACTACAATCCCAGAGGGAGCTTTCTCACACCTTCACCTGCTGCAGTTCCTGTGAGTGTCCCCACCCACAACACATCATTTTTCTAAAACATCATTAACTTTTAATTCTCCATCAAACCATGTCTGTGGTGGTCTCTATGGTAAAAAGAATGTAGATTTTTAAAAAATGGTCTCACACTTTGTGTTTTCACTGAGCTGAAGTTGCAAACATCTCTTGTTTAACAGTTACAATAAAAGTGACTTCAGCTACTAGAAGTGAATGGTTATTGAAAACAGTGGTGACATAGCAGTAATAAGAGTTGAGTGTCTCTGTATCAGTGTCATAGCCGATCACTGACTCCCTTCAGTTCAGCTCTGCAGGACAAAGAGACGTTTATCTCCTCAAATGCAATCATGAGCGTGTGCTCATGTCCCAGCAAGTGTTTTTGTTTGTCTGTGTATGAGTTTAAAAGAGAAATCTACTTATCGACATAAGATCAGTTGGATTTAATCTGAAGGTTTAATATGATCGAGACTAGAACACAGTTTTTCACTTATTTAAAAGGAAATTTCGACATTTTCTCAGAGACACGTGGAAAAGATTTTTTTTAGATATTCACATCGGTTGTTTTGATGTTGATCTCTAGTTTCACTGTATAAAGCCCCTTTATACAGGGACCTTTTGAGGAACTATGTGCATTTTGACTGCAGGAACCAGGGTCTAAATCACAGTAAGATCTGGGGTAAAAGATCTACCCCTAAAAAAGAAAGAGGGGGGGGGAGTACTTTCTAAAGCCCCTTTTCAACCAAAACTGTCCAAGGAACTAATTCCTGTGGCCCTTGGTTCAAATTCAAATTCAAAAAACTTTATTTGTCCCCGGGGGGCATATCAAAGGCACAGAGCAGTAAATTAACGACAGTGCAGATAGACTAAAAATGTAAACCAAAAATATAAAGTGTCAACATGTCAGCATTTCCACGGCTGCCTGAAGTTCCAGGAAGATTGTACAAATCAGACTGTATTGAATTAAAAATGGATTCATTGATTAACAATGGGAGTGAGCCGAGTGCTGTGTTTAGTGTGTCTCCAGTGGAAAAGGGGGGCTTTTGACTTGATGGTTTTTTCCTCTTCTTTGCAGGTTATTGAACTCCAATACATTCACCATGATTGCTGATGATGCCTTTGCTGGTCTGTCTCACCTGCAGTACCTGTAAGTGTATTACCTTATCATGAGCTACTGACACACAGTGTATTTTTGCTTGAAGTCACTGCCTTTCGTCAATCTTTTCACAAAACTATTAATAAAAAACACTTTATGGAGTTTGATGCATGTACAACAGTGTTTCTTTTATTGAAGAGCAGTTTGAACGTGAACGTTTGCAGCATTTGAGAAACCGCTTTTACACTCTTTTTTATCTTCTATTACAAATAGAAAAGGATTCACTGTAAAATACAACCTTGCTTTCAGGAGTTTAGGTGATACAAGCTTACTTGGTTGAACATTATAGTATAGTACCAACCAATATGTTTGATTGCTTTATCTGAAGTGAAGTTAAACTTTCTTCAAAGGAAATATTTGTGCAGACTTTCAACTTTGCTCTACCTCTACACACCTCTGTTTATTATTGTGTATGATAACTGTAATCTTAGTGAGTTTATTTCTTTAATAGTGAGTCATCTTTTAATCTTTTATTGTGAAGTACTTTGTGATGTCTGCTCATGAAAGGTGCTATGTAATCAACTTTACTTACTGTAATACATCTAACTCGAGGCTGCACTATGGCAAAAAACATCAGAAGAAAAAATACAAATAAATCCTGACAGCGAGCATATTGCCTCTACAGTGTGATAAAGCTGATTCTGCCATTCTGGGAATTGATGGGCTTTAGAAACTAGTTAGCTGATTGCTTGTGCAGCTCTCTGTGATGGCAGCGACCTCAGGCTGCTCGCTGTGTGGCTCTTGGCTGCGGACCAGCCATCAGGCCTCTCTGCATCACTGCCACTACTGTTGCTACCCGCTGTGCATACTAATAAAGTCATGTTTTCATATCCAGACACCTCTAGGGACTGCACGTGCAGGATGTTCTCATGTATCAATAGACAAAACTGAGCTAGGATCAAATGCTGCTGACACATTTGTAAATCTCACTGCATGCAGTCTTATTTTTAACTCAGTAATCAAAAGCAGGAAATTTGCTTTCAACGTAAGGAGTCATTTATTTATTTATTTTTTAATTCTTTCTTCCAATCATTTAATGGGTCAATAGGATCATTCAGTACAAAAACTAGACATGTATCTGCACTGTACTTCCTCATTTCTTCTCATGTTATTCCTGATGCTTTTCAGTTTCTCATCAGTCATCCAACAGATGCAGACTTTGCAGTTACAGAAATAATTTCTGCTTGTAGTCATGCTCCTTTCATATCATGCACTGACAGCACTAGCATCTTGCAAAATAAAACAATATTATATCATGCAGGCTGAATTCCAGACTGTGTCATTACTGCGTGACATCTGAAGTGTTCTTTTCACAGGTTCATTGAGAATAACGACATCCAGGCTCTCTCTAAGTACACCTTCAGAGGACTCAAATCCCTGACTCACCTGTAAGTATTCTGTTATACTAACAAGAGAACCTGAGTATCCGGTAAGTTGACAGTGGGATAAAAGAAGAAGACAGCAGGATAATGTCATACAGAGGGTGAAAGATAGTTAAAGGTCACATATAATGCAAAATACAATTTACAATGTTTTCCAATACTAGTATGTGTCCCTAGTCGACAAAAGTCCGTCCTCTACGTTTTTTGCCTGCTCCACTTTTTAGAAAATGTGTGCTCAAACAGGCTGTTCGGAGATGTTCCCTTTGTGACATCACAAAGGGCAGTAACGCCCTCCCAAAGGTGGGTGACGCTCCAAAAACTAGGTGTTTGTTCTGTCCTCTGAATCTGCCTTCCAGTGTTACCAACAGTAAGGAAAGCAGCTATTGGCTGTCCTAAAAGTCGCTAGAAGTTGCTAAATGATGCCATCACCTAATTTGCATAATTTGCCATTTACCAAATATGAACTACAATTATTTTTTCTCGTTTCATGACTTTAATGCTTAGACCCACTTTACATAAATCAATTTTTTTCCTGTATTGTTAAATGTTAGAATATCAAATTTAATCAAAAGACTGTGCGAGTCAAATACAGTGTTTTATTTTTATGTGAAAGTGAAGAAACATTTACTCGTAGCTCTGTAAACCAGGGCGGGAACAGTCTGGACGCAGTGTGGTTTGGGTCTCCTCTCTGCTTTGACTGCAGCTGGGTCTGCTGCGTGAGGCTAGACTGACAGCCTGTGAGTGCTTTTGGAAGGGGGAGGGGCTCATGGCAGCACCCGCTGCTCGTTGAGGACAGTAACTGCAGAGCAATACGTGCTTTCACGTCAGTTTCTAACACCAAAAAAGTCTCCAATAACACCAGAAAAAGTTGCTAGATTTGTCGCTAGTAGCTTTTGACAAAAAAGTCACCAAGAGGATTTTCAAAGTTGCCAGATTAGCGAGAAAGTCACTAAGTTGGCAACACTGCTGCCTTCTCACCATAAACAATTGGGCATGGAGCGAGTAAGCCCAAGCCACCCAAGACCTTCGTGGTCAAACACAACTCATTTAAAGCTACAGACACAGAAACAGCCTGTTCTAAGAAGAGCTGAAATAGAGGGCTTTATAGGCATGATCAAATACAGGATAAAAGTGGATTTTTGGCTAAAAACTTCACAGACATGTTTTGGAAAGCTCTGAGACTATTTTAAACTTATTAAAAAGGAGTATAATATGTGACCTTTAAAGGAAGAATTGTGGTAAGAGGTGAAACTGACACCAAAGGACAGTGAATAAATACATTTACCTTTTTAGGGGCATTTTATAGTCTTCAGTTAATCAGATATTGTGAGGCATCACTGTATGATTGTTTTCAAATATTGCAGAATCCCTGAATCATGATATTATCATTATCATGGGCGACGTAAAGAATCGCGTATCAGATAGTAACCAACCCCCGTGATTAGTTTGCACAACAGACTAGTTAGTTGATGCTAAAATATTTTTAAAACAAGATGGAAAATGATGAATAAAATTAACAGACAATTATTTCTATATTTTTTCCAGATCTCTGTCGAACAACAACCTGCAGCAGCTGCCGAGAGATCTCTTCAAACACCTTGACATCCTTACAGATTTGTAAGTGTGCCCTCTCTCAAAACAAAGCAGCATCTTCACATCCCGAGGGCTTTGACTCCACAGTCTGTCACTACAAAACACTGCTTGGCTGAATCTCCTGTGGGATTTAAGAGAGTCCTGAACTCTGCCAAACTGCCTGTCCCTACTGTCACATTCTTTTGTCTGCTGTGTTCTTTTTGTAAGGTTTTAGAGTATTTATGTTTCAGCTCTTGAGATCTATGCTGATATATTTCTCACTTCCCCCCTCTGTTACTCAGAGACCTGCGGGGAAACTCTTTCCGCTGTGACTGTAAAATCAAGTGGCTGGTGGACTGGATGGAGAAGACCAACACCTCAGTTCCTGCGATCTACTGTGCCAGCCCCTTTGAATTCCAGGGACGCAGGATCCATGACCTTGCACCACGAGACTTCAACTGCATAAGCGCAGGTCTCACCTCGTCTCTTTCCAGTTAATTGCTAAAGTGGTTGACAAAGCAGATCTTCTTGGTTAATGGGAATTGTGATTGTGCTTTGTTTCTTATAGATTTCGCTGTTTATGAGACCTTCCGTTTCCACTCTGTGTCAGTGGAGTCCTACGAGTTCAATGGGGATCAGTTTGTTGCCTTTGCTCAGCCTGATTCAGGGTTCTGCACCCTGTATGTGTGGGATCATGTGGAGATGGTCTTCAGGCAGTTTCATAACATAACCTGTAAGTTTCTGTCGATACAAGCATGAATATTTGACCATTATATGTGTCCAAACTGCATCTTGATTGCTTCTTCTCTCTGCAGCTCGCTCAGCTGTGTACTGCAAACCTGTGGTGATCACAGACGGTCTTTACATGGTTGTGGCTCAACTTTTTGGTGGATCTCATATCTACAAGTAAGGCTTACCTTGTAACCTGATAAATTCCTCCAGCTTATCAAGAAACCATGACTCTATAAAGTTGCTATAGACTCCTCTGTGGTGCCCCCAGTGGTGACAATTAATTATTGCCGAATTATCGTACATTTGGCCTTTTCTGCAATTATTGATCGTACATCGCACAGAGGGCAAAATCATGGTACAAATACGATAGTTAGCGTACATCTGGCAACACTGGTTGTACTTACTCTCAGATGTATGTTGCTTAGGAAAAAAGCGTACGCTAAATGAAATTGTAACATTGTAATTTCTTAAATTTTTGCCATGTAGTCGAGAGTTGTGTGAGGCGATAAACACTAATATTACTTCTTTGTGCAAAAAAAGGAAAGAAAAACTAGTCTGACTCTATATAAAACATCTAGCAGCCACAACTGTTAAACCTTTAACCTTTAATGCACAAAAATTAAGGAAGGTTTGACTGTTATTGCATTCTCTTTCTTGTCTGGGAACAGCAATTTTTAATTCTCAGCAAATTGCCTAGCGACTGCTCTCTGCCAAGTAATAGTCGGCCAAATAAAACATCAGATTTTCGTTTTTATTCCTCTGTTTTTATATGTTAAAAATATGAGGGTTGGTGGATAGAGCCTAGCTTATTCCATCTGTTTTCAGTGTAATACTAAGCTTAGCTAATCGGCATTTTGCTGTAGCATGATACTGTATAATTTTCTGTGATGAGGCCAACTGGTAACAATCACACTCTCAGAATTCAAACAAGTAAAGTCCTAAAATACTAATTATGACTTTAATCATGAACTAACTTTAGGAAAACTATAACAGCCTTTGTGTTACCACAGGTGGGAAGAGGACCCACAACGCTTTGTTAAGATCCAAGACATTGACACCACCCGTGTTAGGAAGCCAAACTTCGTGGACACCTTCCAGATCGATGGGGAGTGGTACTTTGTGGTGGCAGACAGCTCCAAAGCAGGCTCAACCAGCATTTATCGCTGGAACAGCAATGGCTTCTACTACCACCAGTCCCTCCACCCCTGGCATCGGGACACCCATGTGGAGTTCCTTGATGTTGGAGGAAAGCCTCACCTGATCCTCTCCAGCGCCTCTCAGCCTCCGGTGGTTTACCAGTGGAACCGAAACCAGAAGCAGTTTGCTTTCTTCTCCCAGATAACAGAGCTGGCTGACGTGCAGATGGTGAAGCACTTCTGGGTGAGGAAGGTTCTCTACCTTTGCCTGACGCGCTTCATAGGTGACTCCAAGATCCTGCGCTGGGAGGGGCAGCGCTTCGTGGAGATCCAGACTCTTCCGTCTCGTGGCTCGATGGCGGTGTATCCTTTCACAGTGGGCCTCCGGCAGTACCTCATCCTGGGAAGTGACTTCTCTTTCTCCAGAGTTTACCTGTGGGATGACCTCACTCAGCGCTTTCAGCCATTCCAGGAGCTCAACATGAGGGCCCCGCGGGCGTTCAGCCTGGTCTCTGTTGACAACAAGGACATCCTGCTGGCTGCAAGCTTCAAAGGCAACACCCTGGCCTACCAGCACCTGGTGGTGGATCTCAGTGCAAAGTAGACATGTACAGTAGACATGTTTGCAGAGTAAAAGAAGGTGTTTCCGAGTATATTTCAACATGTGCCAAATAAACGAGAGACTGCAAGATGTTTAAGCCATGTAACTAAAGGTCTGCTGTTTCAAGCGTGTAAAAGCTAGGCTACTAATTAAATAATTTAACTATTATATGCACTATCCCGTAACATCTGAATGAAGTGATGTGATAACACACAGCATCAGCAACATGCCAACACAAGTGTCTTGTCACTGCCGCATCACCGCTTCTGTATTGCATAAAATATATCCAGGCCAATATTTTTGAAAGAAATGTCTTGTATATTGTGCTTTGATAATGTGAAAACGATGTGCATGTGCAGCTTCTGACTGATTCGCTGGATGAGACAGGATATCAGAAATGATTAAAACTTCTGAGGTTCATAGGTTACCCTGTGTAGGTCATTTGTGTAGAATATTGCATGTGATGGTTCAAATCATAAAACTATGTAAAACAAGCAATACTAACCATGGCAATACTTTAGATCTTTGATTGTTTTTATCTTTATAAAGGAGATACCTCTGAATCTGTTTTGGTTGTAACAGATGTAATGTTCATTCTGCAGTAAAAACAGGGGATCAGAGCCAACATGAGGAAAGAGCAACATGAAGCCTCGAAATGAACTGAATATTTATGTCTGTTTTTTTGCCATATGACTTTATATTCTAAAGATTTATAATCTGATTTTGTTTTAATGACCAAACCCAAAAAAACGTCACCAAACTTCCTGACATTGGCGTAGATCTTGTAAAGTGTACCTTACTAATGTGGAAATGATATGCATGTGCATCTACGAATTTATTCACTTGATGGGACTGGGTATTAGAACTGACTGCAAAACTAATGGGTAGAAATTTAGGCAGCAGCATATAGCTGCTGCCTAAATTTGGGTTTTTGACTAAAAGAAATGGGAAAGTGTTGGTGATGAGGGGATTTGTGGGAGCTATAACAAGATCGGAGTATTATTAAAGTTATATATGTTTTTCCAGTCCTCTTTTTTTAATGTAGATTCACAAACTGTGTTTTACTTTTTGCTGTGTATATTTGCACATGGAGAGTCTGGTGGGAAGAGGGAATGATTAAATGTAGTTGATGGTCCCTAAAACATCATGGTTCTTTGTTAATCTGACTGCAATTTACATATCAACCCCCCTGAACTACACTACTGCAGCCACAATCAGCTTCTCTATAACTAAAGTGCAAAGGAGTCTTGCAAAGATGTTACAATCTGCACTTGTATCTGCAGTTAAATATGGAAGATGGATGTATGATTCTATTTGTGATGTAGGCAAACAGTCATAGCACTAACCTAACTCAATGATCAGAATTAGTATTAATGTATCGTATTTTATGACGAGCAGTTTGTACTCACTTGCATGATTTCAGAAATAAGCGGGCGCTGAAATCTTATATTCCTTAAATCAGTGGTGTCCAAACTTTTTTCTTGCGGGCCAAAATTGTCGTGTTAGAATCGCTCGCGGGCCACAGGTTTTGTTTTTTAAAATATAGTTGAAAAAATAGTAAGGCTTTGTAGATCAGAATCAAAGGGCTCTCTAAAGAATCCCTTTAATAAAAGGAAATCAAATATTTAGATTTCTTCGTTCTACTTTATTTGTTTTTTTCTCAGAATCAAGCCTGTAATGTGGTTCATTTTTTTGGAAAAGCTTTCTGCATTTAGCTCAGGTCATTAAATGGTTAAACAACAGTCTGCTTGTTTGCAAAAAAATGTGGAAAATAGTAAAAGCTGTAGATTTTAAAATAAAACAACAACATACATGTTACTGAACATTTTCTATTTTAGGAGTATTGTTCAGCCCTTGTTAACATGAAAAAGAAAAATAAGATAATGCGCCAATCTTAATCAAGGCCTCGGGCCAAAATCTTCTGATTCTTCATTTGAAGTCAACGGCCGCAAAAAAATCCCCTCAAGGGCCGCAAATGGCCCTCGGGCCGCACTTTGGACACCCCTGCCTTAAATGTATATTTGAAAAAAAATGTGAAATGTCTTACGCCCAGATGCGCATTCACGACGCAGACACAATGTCCGCGAGCAGACGGCAGTGCACGTTCCGGGTACGCCTGTTTTAAGTTCTACGGTTTCTCGCAAGGGCGGAGTTAAGGCGTCTTCTCTTGTCGTCAGCCGTCACCGCCTTTTCCCGGTGTTTCTTGGTAGTAAAGCACGCGTCACCATGTGTTGTTTTTGTTGATATCTGAGACTTTAGCTCGTCTCGCCTCAGCAGGGTGAGGTTTACTTTCACAGCTGGTGGAGACATGTCGGCAACACCTCAGACTTTTCCCACATCAGACGATATTTCAGCTTAAATGTGAGTGTTGATATTTGTTTCGGGCAAAAGGTGAGTGTAGCTAAGCTAACGTTAGCTGTGTGACTCATTGGTGTGTCTTGTCTGCTGGGTCTAGATAAGATAATATAACCATTTCAAGGTAATAAAGGTTAAGACTGAGGTAATCAAATGTCCAAATCTACGAAAATGTCACTGCCACCTGAATGGGACGACGACGAAAGGATGAACTTCATGTTCTCCGACTTCAAGGAGAACCGAGAAGTTAACACGACGGACTGGGACAGTAAGATGGACTTCTGGACTTCTCTGATCATAAAAGCCTGCAGGGACCGAGGCACCGTGTGTGTCAGCCTGCATGAGCTGAATAAGAGCTTCAGGAGGAAAGAGAAATCCCCGCTGGGCTTGGGGACTGTCATCCAGTCTATGGCCAGGTGGGTGCTCTTATGTGACTTAACCTGTCACTGCTGTCTGATCTGAAGAGTCTGCTCTTACAATGTGTTTTATCTCGTGCCAGATGTGGTAAGATCCAGAGGGAGTCTGAGTTTGCTGCCAATGTGGACTGTGGCTGGCTGTCCTGGGGTGTTGGCCTGCTGCTGGTAAAGCCTCTGAAATGGACCTTCTCCACTCTTCTGGGAAGCAGCGGGGTGGCCATAGAGGAGTCCTTTGTTATCATTGAACTTGTCAAGGTTTGTCTAACTGAGCGACTACAATACAAGGTTATCAAACTGGAGCTGCCATACCTTTAGCATTGTTATCAGTTAATGCAGTAAGATTGTGTCGTTTATACACACACATACACTCACATTATCCATGCGTTTTTCAAACAAGTTAATGAGCTAACTTCATCATAGGACATTTAAAAGTAAACTGAAACTTAACATGCATTTCTAGTGAGTCAATGTCCTGATACAGCCGTGCTGAATGGTTTCTCTTTCAGTTTCTCTGACATTTCCAATGGAAAATAACGGTGACAGTAGCAGCTACTAGATACAAATGTGTCTTTTGTTTTGCAGGAGAAAGCAGCAGAATTACTCGGCGTGTACAGGAGCAGTGAATTTGCGAGCAGCTCCGTCGTTTCTTTTCAAGAGCTCTGCACTCTCTCCACTGATGTGTGCGCTGACGAGAGCACCCTGTGCATGGCTCTCCTGCAGCTACAGAGGGACAAACAAGTGACAGTTTCACTGCACGAAGGCGAAAAGGTAAAGAGATGACCATATCACGACCTGTTCTTTAGATGACATTAAAGGCATTTGTTGCAGATTACCTACCAGGAGAAAGCCTCCTTATGTTTCACGTTTGTGTGTCTTCATTACAGATTGTTAAGTTCTGTCAGCCTGGCCAGGATCGTGTTTCCCAGGTCAGTGAGGTGGATATGGGCATCTACCAGCTGCAGCGCAGTGAGAAGATGCTGGGAGAGCGGGTGGAGAAACTCGGCCTCGAGGCAGACAAGTAAACTAACTCAAACTTAAAGTAGAAAAAGAACTATTATTCAGTTATAATGTATGCAAGTAAACTATAAACAGCTGACTTGGAGCTAAGGATGTAGATCCATTAACTAATTAGAACATTGCTGCTTCAATCCCATCATGTCCACGTGTCCTTGGGCAAGAAAATGATCCCCAAATTGCTCCCTTTGGTTATTCAGTCAATTTCAGAGAGTGTTAAAAATGTGTGAATTAAATTAGGCACACTCACACTAGGCATAGTTCCCACTGAAGCACAGTTGTCGCCCTTCCCCAGTCCCCCGCTGGCTAGGACTCACATGTTGGGCCTGAGCATGGTTACCTCTTGTGCTGCACCTTTTTTTTCTCAAAGAGAGTAAATAGAAAGTTTGCAGTTTGCATAATCTGGTTGAAATTCATTTACACTTTTTTGAGCGCTTCAAAATCTGATCACCACTAAAGTGTGTCATGCAAGAGAGACGATAAAATCAAACACAATGCTCAGTTATCATTTTGACATTGAAGCAGCCTTGACTGATTCACAACGTCAACTCATGCTGAGGGACAAATGGGAAGAAAGTACTAATTCTGGTAGTTGTAAAATAGCAGGCAAAGACTATATTATAGTGGTACAGCCAATTGTCTCTAGGCTAGTCTAAGTATGGAGAACAACACAGAGAACATGAATGACCTTCTGACACTCCTGGACACTTCTCGATAATGCAAGACGGGCCTCGGTATTACGTCATGCCCACGTTGCGTTCCCGTGCTTGTGCATGAGCAAGCATACAGTGCTGAAGCCCACCTCTTCCAACTGTGCCAGGGCCAAGGAAGTGATGACACTGGGGGTCAAACGTGCTTGGACACGGTGCCTCGTGTGAGTGCACCTTTAGATCCTGATGAACATGGCTGGGACTTTGCATGCCAGCTTCTGCTTTTGTCTATGAATGTGCTTGAATGGATGTATTTTGGATTGAAGTGTAAAGTACAAACCATTTAGCAGCTTTGCTAAAGCTGCCATGCATTTTCCAAGTGCAGGTGTAAAGAGGAAGCAAGGATGCTGCTTCGGGAAGGAAAGAAATCCCAGGTACCATCAACCTTTTAACTGCAAAAACAAATCTATGCTACCAAACCCCATTGCACTGGGTTCATTGACAATGTCCCCTTTTCCCACAGGCACTGAGGTGTTTGAGAGGCCGCAAAAGGGTAGAAAAGAGAGCGGACAACTTGTGTGCTCAGCTGGAGTCCATCAGAGGAATCCTGGACAGAATAGCCCAGTCACAGACCGATAAGATGGTGAGAGTGCAGACATGAACGCTCTCTCTAGCAGATATCTGTGACACGGTTTGCAGTCACAATGTTTTAAATCTGTGCACACTGAATATGTTTGTAGGTTATGCAGACATATCAGGCTGGAGTGGCCGCTCTGAGACTTTCTCTCAAGGACGTGACGGTGGAACGTGCTGAGAACCTTGTGGATCAGATACAGGAGGTGATTCTTTGACATTTTTACATCCAATTATTTAAATGTAATCACACCCTTAACATCATAATTGACCTCTTCTTTGATTTAACCAGCTATGTGACACTCAAGATGAGGTGAACCGGACCATATCCAGCATGGCCAGTGCAGGTATGGTGAAACTGTCAGTGCCACAGTCTTTAATTGATTACAGGTATGAAGGAGGTCTAAGTGTGTTGTGTTTTGTAGATGAAGACGTGGATGAATTGGAGCAGGAGCTGAAATCTTTGATGGAAGAATCCAAACCGGATTCAATCTCAGACTTTCCTGATGTTCCAACAACAGATCTGCGACCTTCCCGGGAGGCGGGGCTTGCAGGTATGGACCTGCTGAGCTCTCTGTCTGCTGTACCTTACAGCACCATGGATATGACCGATGAGCAGCTGGAGGAAGAGTTGAATAAGTTAACACTTACAGATTCAGGTTTGTACTTTCAGGTTTCTTCTCTTTTTGTTCTCTATTCATTGTAAGATAAATGTTTTGACGTCACACACCTTCACCTCTCCGTCCAGGCTTTGAACAGAAGAAAACAACATCGCCAGCCAAGAGACTAGAGCCGGCACACTGAACGCACAAGCAAAGCATGGCAAGTCTGAAGCTCTGCATCAACATATCAAACTCTCCTGAAGCATTTCTGTGAACCGGAGTTCATAGCAGTTTCAAATCAAGCACTAGAAACTAAATGAATGACTTCTACAGTGACGTAATAGTTGTAAAATCTATTTCAGGATTTAAAAAAAAGAAGCACTTTCTGTTACCTAATAAAAACTACATCAAGATCTTTACTGTGGAGGCTTACCAAAACGTTTTAATAAATATATATTATTATTTTTTCTTTGTTAAATCATCAACTTGAAGTGTTTAGATTGACTCTGCCATCAAGATTCAAAAGGTCTCGAGTGAAAAAACATTTTAATGGTTTAAAATATTCTCTTTGGTATGCCGCCACCAGTGAAGCTTTTATTTTTTGCTATTATTGACAGTGAGAGAACAACTGTGTCTGTGTGTTAGTGTTTTAAAATGTGCTGTAAAGTGTACTCATTGGCCTTTTGACCTGTAAATATGAAAGTAAAGAGAGTGCTTTGCCAAATGAATGAATGATCTCATCAAATGAACCATATACAGTATTTAGTCCCACTGAAACATACTATATGTGTGAGGACAGAAAAGCCTTCCTTAAGTGAGTTTAATGAAATACGTTTCTCAAAATAAACATTTATTTTAATCAAATATATGCCTGGAGTGATTTGTCAGTTTCAGTGGCTGTGACGGAAACACCTTAACTACACTCCTTCCTCAATCTTGACAGTCATTGAATCCAGTAGTTGAATCCAGTTAAACTTGTGCCATGAAGCATTAATGTTCACACAAGATTAAGTTCAGAAAATTTTGCATATAATTGTTTCACCTCTCCAACTTTCAAATTTCACTACCAAATCTACAAAGTGCACCTTTAAAGTCTGAATCGATCAGTCAGCCCCTGGTTCATGAAACTCCTGTTTGATAGCATGGTTAATAAAGTCAGTTTAAACGTATTTTACTAATTAATCTTGTTAAAGAATAAAGATAATGCAGAGCCTCTACCATTATTTCCAGTCTATTGCTTCTACATCTTTTATGTGAATGCCTTCAGTGCTTTAGCCACCAGGGGTCGCTGTCCATCAAATAGATATTTTTGACTCAACCAGGTAAATGATCTGCTTCATTAGCTCTGTAGTAACTTAATAGTTTCACACAGCCGCTTCATATATCCATTGACTAAAATGAACACAACATAGCAGTAGTAACTGTGGTACTCGTACATACATGATATCATACCTTGATAATAAGTAAACTTCAGTTTTCTTAAGATCTCAACATGGTTTTCATATCTCTGAATAACCATGCTGATCTCCCCGCTGTTTAACAGATTCATTTTCACATCATTTCAAGACAAAGGTTGTTTTCTCGTGATAACATGGTAATTTTCAGGATAACTAGAAAACAAAGCATTTGGCTGCTCACTGCGATGGACAAGACCATGACATGCCGTGTTGTCATTGCCCACACTAAGGAGGTAAGTGAAGCCTATTTCTGATTGTTTTGTGCTTTTGAAACTTTGGGGATTCGAGATAAATCATTCAAGATCTTGAGAAAACAACAGGAAGTCACTGTTTTTACAGGAAAATTGAGAACATCAAACGTACGGATCAAATGATAAAGGTAAGAAATTCAGATGTGTTTCTTATCTACCTAAAACACACACACTTATAATGACACTAATTTAGATTACTTTTAACCAGTTTTTCCCTCTTAAGAAGATATTGTACTCTTGTTTTCATGAAGACCTGTTGTGGAAAGTTTATCAACTGTTTTTAAAATCATATTCTTCTGGATTCTCGTCCGGCTACGCAAACAGAACACTGGTCTTTGTGTGAAACTCTTGAATACATACGGCACAGTCCTGTGTAGTTGGTGTGATACTGATGGTATGGCCTGTTTGTCATTGACTTCCATCAATCAGCTTTTACTGTAAATGAGGACACCTAGTGGCCAACTGTCTGAACTGCATTCATGTTGGTATTCTTGGAAACATGCCTCATCTCTAAACAACATCTCTGTTCAGGTATAGCACACTCTAATGAGTCAATTTAACATGAACTAATGTCATTACTATAACCAATGTGATGGTACTGACAAATAATCCTTTGTACATACACTCCCCCCTTCTCTCCTTAGTACTCAGTTTTGAAGAACACTGTAACGAAACACTTCATTTCCAGCTAATCCAGCAGAGAAGTTGAGTGCTCACAGGATTTTGCCTTCACATCATTACTTTTCTTCTTACACCGAAGGCTTATTAGGCACGAGTGGGCACTTTACTGTTCAATGAGCCAGAATAGGAGGTGAACAATATGCTCCGGACTTTATCAAATCAACTGAACACCCATGGTTGATCTTTGGAGACTCTGAGGAGCAGAGATGTGATGTAGGATTGTAACGTCCCCTTATCAAAATACATATCATTTATTTTTTTCATCCATCAGTCCAAACAAAAGAAATCCAGTCCCCAAACAAAAAAAGCATTGCTTTATTGTATTGAATTATACATATACTTCAAGGACAGGTGATATTACTGTGAAAAGCAGGTTATTAATCGAGTATAATTACCGTCATGTCGTTGTTGCAGTGGTTTCTGTCAATATCTGAGGTGCTTTTGTGTTCTCTATGAAACAATAAATTAAAAAAGAATTCCTTACAAATGTGCAGCCTTTATAAAGAACAGTAGGTTATATCACAAAATCCTATTACAGCAGTGTTTTAAAAATTCCCCGTGTATCACAAATAACATCAAGAGATATCGTATAAGTCCACACTTCTCTCAAAGGCCTTCAGTGTCTCGCTTTGTATCACACACCCTTCTCCCTCACTCTCTCGGACACAAACAACACTGCTTGTTCACCATCGTTTTCATACTGCATTTACACATGTGCACCACAAGTGCTTCTTGCACATTTAGCAGCTCATACCTACAGTAACATTAACCTACAGTTATTATACCGATATGACGAGATGATGACAGACGTAGTATGAAGAGTATGTTCAGTTTATATTATCAGTTCTACCCTACGCAGCTGCAGAAATCTTGTTATACTTGTTGATATGTCCAGACTATTGTTTAAGATGAAGCAGATAGAGACCTGTAATGGTAACTGTAAGCCTTAACTACTCTACACAGCGTGTGTACGTTTGAACAGGTGGAGCAGGCACTGATGCAGATATTTGGCTGAAGGAGACAGAATGACATAAAAGTCTAAGCAAAAATTCAAGCTGTATATAATACACAATCTCAATGGGTGATAAAGAAACATTTGGCATGCTTTGTAGTCGTCCTTTTTTGAATGTATATTAAGAAAAACAAGTTTTTATGGAATACCATAAAAAAAGGATGATTATGTTTTGTTCTTTTCATATTGCAGTGTTGCGTAGAAAGCAGGCTACACAGTGGGTCAGGCTCCGTCCTGCTCTTGCAGTGTTGTGTGTTTACAGTAGATGTGTGTGTGTGTGTGTGTGTGTGTGTGTGTGTGTGTGTGTCTGTGTGTGTGTTTATTTGCGTGTTAGCATTGCAGTGTTAAACTGTCCTGTCAGCTCCTGAGCGCTTCCGAACAACCTTCTCCTCCTTGACCTGGTCCACCGCCAAAGTCTCCAGCTCCGCCTGCGGTGGAGCCAGTGGAGGGGTGCCATGTGGGATGCGGTGTGCAACACCCACATGAGCCCTGTACTGGCGGTCCCGAGCTGGGCTGTGACGCGGGCTGGCTGTGGCGCCGAGATGAGCTACAGGGGGGCGCTCAGAGGCAATAGGGGGGATAACAGCAGGACGTTCTCTCACGACCTGTGGTTCAGGAGAGTCCCTCCCAGCCTGTAGGAAAGGTGTGGGGTCAGGCATGGCTTCTACTGTCTCCCGCAGAACCAGCCGTCTACCATCCGGCCCCAGCCGATACACCTCTGTTAACTCAGGGTGCAGAGGCTGAGAGAGACTCTTCTTCATGCGACGTCGCGGGGTTTCAGGCTGCCTGTCCTTGGCAGGGGGAGGAGTGGGCTTGTAGGAGGTGACTGGACTAACGTTGGGGCTGGCCTCAGACGAGCTGCCAGCTAACAGCTTCTTCTTGGTGGCATGAAGCTGAGAGGTCAGGTAAGCTATAGTGCTCGCTCTCTGCTCCAGCTCCCCAGACAACACAGCCAGTTTGTGGCTCTTCATCTTGAGCTCCTCTAGATACTTCTTCTCCCTCTCCTTGATGGTGTTCTCCAGAACAGAGATCATAGCATTCTTTTGCTCAAGGTCCCTAAGGAGCTCTGTGTTCTCCTCCTCCTTCTTCTTTAGCTGGGCCTCCAGCTCCTCACATCTTCTCTGCAGCTCCTTGCATCGGACTTCGCTGCTGTCTGCATACACAATTTTCAAAAAAAGTTAAGAACACAACAAGTAAACATCATTAGGTGCACACAAGGAATACACTCATACACAGACTGGACAAATCGTTAATACATTAAGTGCTGAATATGGGCAGTCTGTCAGCAGACAGAGACAGTTTGATCCTAAAGAGACTCATCTTCAGTGAGCAGAGAGCTCCAGTTTCACATTACAGCTCTGCCAGACAATAAGCACATCGCCCTCTTTTGACCTTCACCAACGCTGCCTCCACCTGCCCCACCCAGAGACAGCACATACAGTCATGTTTGTGTGTGTTGCAAGAACCAATACAGTTATATAATACAACACAATGTCATAAAGTTGTGTATTATTATTTCTTAAGATGTGCATATAACTGTTGTTTTCCCGTCATCTGGTGAATTTTTCCCCTAAGTTGGATCAGCTGAGTCCGGCTGCACTAAGCAGGATGGAGCCTGTGCATTAGCGCTGTGACAGATAATCTGATTTCCTGCACTCCAATCTCTGAGATGCCCCACATTAACATGATAGTGCCTCTAGCTGGAGGTCCTAACAATACTGGTCAGATCCGGGTTAGACAAAAGTCCAACGTGTAGTTAATCCTGGTGAGTTGAAACATGTTTCTAAAACACACATCAGTGTGATCAGCAGCAGCAGCCTGTAAATACATTAGACTGTGTGCAGTCTACCAGAGGCCTCCCTGACTGTACTTGGCTGTACTTGAAGCCAGTACAAAGACAGTGGACCTGGTTGTGACTCCATGTCACGGCCATGGTAACGTCGGGGGAGGGGCGCAGCAGTGGGCTCTCTAATGAACAGCAGGGAGTCCCACAATGCAACGCTTCCTGGGTGGGAATGTGTGTTACCAGGAAACAGGCAGAGCTCTCTGCTCACAGGCCCATCCGCTGACACAGATTTACAGCGCTGACTTTTGTAAAGTTTAGTCTCCTACTGCTGCTGTGCTCTTTACTGCTATTTTACTAGAATAAATGTCATTATTAAACCAGGTTGAAGAAACAAGAACCTGATTTAAATACTTGAGGTGTTTCCTGTCCAATCTAACCGTGTATTTGTTTGTTTACCGTAACTCACACAGTAGATCACTGCTTCTTAATGAAACAACAATCATGGGGCTTTACCCTGACAAAATCACAGATTAAAATAATCAGGTCATTAAATTATTTTCTATCATTTCAATTCCTGATGGAAATGCATCAACCTAGAAACTGGACATCAGTGTAAAAACAGATGTGTGTGTGTGTGTGCTGTTCGGTATTATAGGGGCTTACCTGAGGGATCAGAGCTTCTCACAGTGAGCTCGTATGTCAGGTCTATAAAAAAAGAAGAGGGTTAATTACATGTCCTCATCACATGATGTTGCAACAGTTCAGCTATTAAACAGCATGATCCTCACACTGAGCAAACAGCAGGGATGCATGTCAGTGCTTTCCAAATGGCAGAGCAAGATTAGTGTGAGTGCCACGTCAGCTTCGGTGATAGGTTAAATCAGGGCTATTGCATACAGTGTTCTGTATTCCTGGGTCACCATCGATAAGTATATTTATCAGTGCTGATGTGCTGATTGCAGATGTTGCTGTGTGCGGGGTGTATTCACTTACCATTGAGTGCATTTCCAATAAGCCATTCAATTCCCTTTTAAAAGGTTTAACAGTGGCACCACTGCATCTTTTCTCTTTAGGTCTCAAACATCCATTTAGGTTTTACAACGTACATGTGCATTGTTTTGAATTCAAGGATACTAATGGGATCTTTATTGACATTTGTTGTTTGTTTTCAAGCAAGCCTTCTGCTTTCATAATAAAGAGAGAGAGCCTCTAAGAAGTTCTTTAATGTGAGAGTTTGAAAGAGAAGGGCGGCGGCTGCTCGTGGCCGTGCTCACCTGTGCATTGCTGCTGTAACCTGCGGATCTCTGCATGAAGCCCCTTCAACGTGTTGGCATGGTCCTGCTGGAGGAAGAGCAGGTTTTTCTGTGCACTGTGCAGCTGATTTTCCAGTGTAACATTTGTTGACGCCATGGCTGATTATGTTCACAGACACACCAGCCCTAACAACCTCCAGTCACAGGAGAGGCAGTGAAAAAGAGAGCGAAGGAGAGCAAAATAAAAAGTCAATACATCAAACCAAAATGTCAATTCTTACAGTTTATCCCATAAACATCGGGGGTTTTCAGAGGCTTACAACATTGCTTTGTCTGCCAGCTAGACGAGACATTCGGATTTGTATGACAGCTTGAACTGATAATTGTTTATATAATACTATAAAAATGCATTTGCAAAGCAGGCTATTGTGCACTTAAAACAACAAATCAAGTGTAAAACCTGTATTCCTATTTGTTGATCAAAACAGCAGCGAACATTCTAAGACAAAGAAGGGAAGACCTTTATGAATACGCAGAGTGGGTGTGTAGGCTATCAACTTCTATAAGGCCGGGTCAATACTGCGGAGTGACTGTAGCAGAGAAAGGCTTGGTGACCATAAATAGGCACACTCATTTACAGCAGCATTTCGTCTGCTGTAAACTGTCGATTGAAAACAATAGAATGAGAAGTGCGACCCTTTAAGTCAGACATCTGAAAGGTAGGTAACCCTAATCTAATACACACTAATCTAATACACAATGATTGTTGTAATGTTATTAGGACAAACAGTGGGAATACTCTTCCTACCACATCTCGGCTTGCTTAGAACAGACAAAAAGGTAAGAATATAAAGTGAAAGTCGAATTAGAAAGGTCTTCTCTTTAGACTCTTTCTCTGATATACAGTACACTTCAGCACAGTTTATCTTCCATTGGTTACTATAATGAATGTAACAGACATCTCTCACTGCTAGAAAACATACTTTTCTGTGTTCAAACAAGCACAAAAAAGAAAAAAAAACACAGCAGCATATCTCTAACTTTATCCACACACGATGTTATTTGACTGTGTTCATGTACATTTGCTTTTTACTGTAATGTAGTATCTTGTTTTTGACTGTCAATGAAAAACCGCCTTTAAAGGTAGGTTTGGGGTCTTTAAATCTGTTGGTTTAATGTTGAGTCATGTCCCTGTTTATTATAAAGTAATAAAGAATTTAAAAATAAACCAGACGCATTGATAGTAATCAGAAAACCACTGGGTGTGGCATGGAGGTTGCTAGTATTAAGCATGCCTTTTCCTTGTTTCCCTGCCTTGCCCCACCTTCCTCCTCCTCCCCCTCCTCCTCCCTTCCCTGGTCTTCCTTGTCTCACGAGCCAGAGGCAGAGAAACAATCACTCAGCTCCAACAACTCCACCCTCTGCCAGACAACTGTGCTGTGCTGAGAGTTGAGAGCACATTGATCCCTGCAACAGCCCTCCTGAGTGCAGAGAAAGCCTCTCCCTGCATACATAAGTGTGCTTCAATAAAACATCCCAGAGCCTCTCGCTCTTACATCATCAGCTCACTTACATAAATAATAAATCCCATGACACCTTGCTGGACACACTCCCTGGTTTCAGTAATTGTCTGTGTGAGTCTTTTTTGTCATTACCAACTGAGGCATAAGATAAGAAAAAGGAAACCAAAACAAAGACTAGTATCACAAATAAAGAGCAAGCAGTGTGTCATAAAGGCTGAGGAGATGATCTATTATTGATGAGTAATGTGGAGTCCTTCCGGTAAACCCTGGGCTGCAGGCACATCTCTCCCCCCAGCTTCTTCCTAGAATAGCTTTCCATTTACAAATACATGACCTCAGCCAGCTTCACTACATGGCTAATGCCAAATCATGAAGGTGACAGTGGTGCAAAAGGTGAACATACTATCAATACATTGAAGAGAGACAAAGTTTACCTTTCTTTGTTCAGGGACACAGTGTGGGGGGGGTAAATGCGAACAACTATGACTGTTTTAAAAAGACAGAGAATAATACAAAAAGCATGACTCAGGCATGGACTTCTTTATAAACAAACCAGCATACCTCAAACAGAGAACATAAATAATCAATGAACTGCAGCAGCATGAAACATTAGCTAGTAGCTTCCATCCTTAGCCACAACAAGGGCTAAGCAGTCACTGGTCTTCCTGTGAAGGAGCTGTATCTTCACACACCTGTCCGTTATTCACCTTTGCTTTAAAGAAAGTGTACTGTTGTTTTCTTTATGTTTTTTTTTTGTTTTGTTTTCATTATTTCTGCAGCTTTATTTAGTTGTAAAAGAATCGATATTTTTGCCTGCACATGTTTATGTTATAGAAAACTTCAACAGCTAAACTCCTACCACTGCAACAATGACAACAGAATTTGGTTGACAGAGAGAGAAACGCCGGGTTTTAATTCAAGCTAAACCAATACAACAAGCAATAACACCGTCTTCTGTTATATGAGGGCACAAACTGCGTGTACGAAGGGACGCTTATTTACTTTCCACGGCACTTTCTGTTTCAGCACCTGCATTGCGGACAGCACCCAGAACCCCCATCTCACATTTAACCACTGCTGCTGCTGCTGCTGCTGCTGCTGCTCCTGGCTGTGTGGCTGCCAGAGGATCATCACCTAAACAAAGCCTGAAAATGTCAAGCTTCAGACATCGTCATCATTCAGGGGCTTGACCTTCTTCTATCATTATCAAACAGAACACAAGTGGTCGCAAACCCCGGGGCTTGCGAGGTGTGCCAGTGAACCACCTTAAAAAACACCACACTTTGCTTGTTTTATGACCTGCTGTGCTGCCGGATGCCATCACTGCATTTCGTCCGCTCATCACAAAAAGGCTGCCCTTGCAAGCTAATATTATGTACTGCTGCTGTCCAGTTTTAAAAAAACAAAACACATATTTACACGTCAAACCTCGTTTACAATCTGTCAAGCAAATAACAGCCTGCTTTATAAAATGAAATATATCAACCACGGTTTGAGTTTATCACACACATACTGATACATACGGCATATGATTAATCCATCAAATGGCTCTTCTTGTCAATACAATTGAGTGAGGTTAGTCTCGTAAAAAAACAGCTGCAAATTATTTAAAATAAATACACAATATTCTAACAAAGGAGCAGGAATGTAGGAAGTCAACCTGCAGGCATTAATGCAGAAAACATTTTTATAGTACTCAAAAATACGCTTTATTGTGTCTTCGAATAAGCAAAGCGACACTAATATTATACAATTTTAAGATGTCATTCAATGAAACAATCTCCATTCATAGGAAGGACGTGTGAGGCTTTAATGATGCTAACCTAGCTGGAAAAGCTAACGAGGCTAGCAGCAGCACATCATCTGGTAGAGAGCTTACCTTGTGGCTAATAATAAAAGCGATCGTCGAATATCTTGCAAAATGTCGTGTTTTGTCGTTGAGCCGACCAGCAGCACCGGCTAAGTGCGTCCAGCCTTGCGGGGCATGTCGGTGATGCTGTCAGGGGGGGCTCGCCTCGACTCGGGTGAGAGGGGAGGGTGGCTGTGTCACTTTCCTATCATCTCCCTGAGCTACAAGACAAAATAAAGCGATGCATTGTGGGATACCAGGGGAAATTATATCTAAACCTAGAGCCATTCAATCACAGTCCTTTAATCATTAAGTCAGCAAAACAAATTTAAACTACAGTCTTAACAAGATAAACGCTTTAAAACGTGTTGTATTACCATTGTATAATATAAAACATTGACGTAAAGGTTGCCAAATAGTCGCTCTAGTTTTTGTCACCAGCGTCATCACCATAGCAACTGAGTCTGTCACCTGTTCCATAGTGATGCATTTACGCCATCTAGTGACAGCATTGGGAAATAGCCTTACTGCAATAAGAGAGAAATTTGATAACAATTAACACTTTTAACAGCACTGTATTTGAGTGTCGGGGTTAATGTCCATCATGTGTCAAACTGTCGAGGTAATTATATTAATGAAACCAGATGAGAGCTTTTGGACAAAGTACAGCTGGTGGACAGCAGAGGGGGGTGTTGTCCTTCAGTGGCAGATTGAGGGACTTTAACTACAGCAGCTGGGATCACTCCATTAGATGATTCAAAATCTAGTTGTTGTTTTTAAAACACACGGGGGCCGGGGCTAATGGTCTTTGGTTTTCAATTGCTCTAATTTTTCATGATAATAGACTATTTAATATTTCGCATGAATGTATGTATAGGTTGAAATGCTTGTTTAAATAAAACTTTGGACCCTAATGTGGCCAATGTCAAACATGGGCACCTATAGCAATACATACAACTTGATGTTTGTTTCCTATCATAGCAAAATTAAAAAAGATTAATGCACAGTTTGCCATTCTAGCCCTGACTTATGCAGGGGAGACCTGAATTGTATAGCTATATTTTAACACAAGATAATGGCAACATGAGCTTAATTTTTGAATGAAACAAAAAGAAGATTTATTTTCAAAGTCACAATTTAAAGTAGCCTACTTAAAATATTGCATGTAAACTCTTGCACAGCCTAACTTGCAAAAATACATTAATTAGCAATGTTTTGGTCCCATCACAATGGCCAGTTAGGTCATTACAAGGAAGACAGTGTGCATTACTTTCCTATGCACCTGTTTTATTACACAGATGTGCAAAGTTGTATATGGATACCATATATATGTATATGGTTTTCAAAAAATAGCCAATCACAGTTTAGGATTTTTGGGGTAGCACCCGGGTTGGCTAATTAGATTTCTAGGGGGGCCCATGCCACCCCTGGCGAGCCCTCTGGACATGCCCCTGTTATGCACATCAAATGGTGTTAAGCATCTATTTCAAGTGTTAAAACAGATATGAGGCCCTATATAGAGTACAGAGTATTGTCTGTCAGTTAAATAAAAGCACAATTCAGTGTGGTATTGCTTCATTAGCAATAAATAAACAAACACACAAATAAACACATATTAAGGAAAATAACCTAGCTGATAGATTTTAATTAGTTAATCATTTTATCTAGCTTTTAACCATGTATGGTATATTTTCTGTTACTTCAGCAATGTTCCTTTCTTCTCAGGCTATGTTTGTGTGTATTTTTATTCATAACTCCTGCTCCTTCTCATCCCCCTTTTTGTTTTGTGTTCAGAGCAGTTTTGTGTTCAGGGCAGTGCTCAGTGATATCTACCCTTGAAACAATGAACTTGTCCTTATTCTTAAATTTAGGATATACGTAGAAGACCATTTTGAAGAGGAATAATTCAACTTTATCTAATTGTAAGTGATATGAGCACTATTAACTCTGAGTTTCCTGGTCTAAGGTATGAAGACTTGAGAAACAGTAGCCTTTTCATACTGACCTATAATAGCACCTTAAATTATTCCTGGCAAGAGAAATTCCTAAGTGACAAAGCTACTGCGTAAAATGATACAAACCAAAAACAAAAGCATCCATTTTTATTCCTGACCCCACAAAAAGAGTCTCATATTTGAAAAGAAAATATCTTGTGGAATAAATGGAATTATTGTCCACCATTCAGAAATGTTATTTTTTGGAAGCAGCCTTTAATCTCTCAGTGGCTTTGGCATGTTTGTGATAGGGATAAAATTCTTCTCATTTCTGTATTTTTAGTGACTCTGGCACACTTCCCAGCTGCCCTCAGAAAGGAACTAGTTTAGCAGAAGGTAAGTTATCCTCGCCCCTGCAACAGTGAGGTGAAAAATAATTCCCCAATAGAGACCCCTACTTTCTCTGTGATTCCCTTAACTTAAACGCTGCAAGAGATCTCAATATATCATAACAGGTAGTAAAGCAGCAGCAAAATGAGAGAAAACAAGCAGTAAAACAAGGCTGTCTGACCTCGACCTCCTTCTATGGCTCTAACACCCCCAAAAGACGTTGTTTTTAGGCCTTTGCCTGCAGGTGATCCGGGGCTGGAAAAGATCCAGCTGAGAAATGTCCGACATAGAAACTGTCCAAAGCTTCTCTCCTGCTAAAGTGACCACAGTGGGATTTCCTTTAACAATCTAGAAGCCCTCATACATGTGTCTGAGATTTACAGCCAAGTGTGTCTGTAGATTTATACTACTTTTTGTAAAGAAAGCAAGGAAATACATTCTTTCTTTTAAACTCAGCCATGCACCCAGAAATGTTCCAAGTGGTGCCATACAGACAGTGGTGAGGCTGCTGGACACACTGCTGGAAAAGTAATGAGTGAACTATTAAGCTTTTGTAACAACTGCTGAGCATCAATGATTGTAAAAAATATATATCTTACAGCATATTTGAATGAGTCTCATTGGTTTAATTGCTTGATTGTGAGCAGATAGTGAAGGTCCTTGTCATTTTTATTGCAATAAAAAAAAGAAATCCAAGCACACGGCAGCCTTGCTCTGGCCCTGTTTTACTGCCCCTGCTCTGACAGGCAGCCAATACCAACACTTCTCAGGTTGTAATAGTTTTACAGTTATTATGTTGAGTTTGGCAAGGGAAAATGGCTCTAAAACTATGAAAACCTAATTTAATTTTCCAAGACCCTTTTTTTTTTATATGCTAGTCCAAGGAAAGTCATAATCTCTCGACTGTTGAACTGAATGTGTCGTTTATTTGAAAACTTCAAAGTAAGTCAGTGACAGTACATTGGCATCAACTTATTTCTACTTCATTTTTTAGTATTTCGTACTGGGTCTAATGTGTCAGAATGAGAAACAAGGAATATGCACAAATTTTGATATGACATTGTACAAATGTTATAATTTCTCGACAGTGTAAGAAGTAAACATAATGTGCTGGTACAGTGCTGCTCATCCTGTTTGAGCCACATATAAGTCTTTAACAAAAAAACAAATATTCTCTTTGTTAATGTTAACCGAATACAGAAACTTGCTTTATTTTTTAATTTACTCTATTTTGTGTGGTATGGAAAGTCTTTGTCCTCCTTTCAGGTCCTGCCACAGTATCAACAGTGCGATCATCAGTAACACCTGGACTTCATATGAGGCCATTTTAAAGCTCCTGTGATGACCTTTCCATTTTTGTCAATTTTGGTGCCCCCTATGGACAAAGCCATATGTCTTATCTCTTTGTTGATCTTGTGCCGTATGTATGTAAGTTGTGTTTTGTGACAGAAAATCTCATCTTACTTTATTTATCAAACATATCACTCACCGTGAATCGTTGCTGTGAAAAATGTAAACAATGTCAGTTTCTGCAGTGTCCTGTTAGTCTCCTCGCTTGACATCCACCCTGAAGCAGCGTCTACAGACAATAAGGAATAACTTAATAGAAATAATCAATCTTCTTCCTGATGGTCCCCTTTGCTTTTGTAGCTCTTAAAGCGACATCAGTATTAATTTCAGTCTGTTACATATCCACATAAAAACTCCTAACAGGAGCTTTAATATAGAACAGCCAGTATATGTGTGACAAGCACTTAAAGAAAAGGTTATTTCAACAGCAATCACCTTCACCGACAGAGTTTTGTACCTGCCAATTAAGTCCTGACAAATGTACAAGCTGACAAAACATAGGTGAAAACAGAGAGGTAATTGTAGCCAACATGTCACATCGAGCCCACATGGAAAGCCTAGCTCTGGAATCACTGCACGGCCACTGCCAATATGTTTCTGCCTTTATTCTGGTAATGAGGGTGGACTGCAGGAAACCATGCTTTCTATGCAATTTTTTTTCTTTTACAGTGTTTTTTACAGTCCAGTGAGAGCAGTGAGCTCGTTGCCATTTAAAGTGACATTTTAATTACTAGCGGTTAATGGACCACTAACATCAAACTTTGAAGTGGCTGTAACTCAGGTTGCCTGCACTGCCAGCCTCAGCAGGAAAAATGTGTGCCATAGTGTGATCCCTCCAAAAGAATTGGTTTAAGACAAGCTGTGATGAGGCATTCTGTTGAAATTAGCTAATGAAATAAAAAATGTTTGCCCTTAAACACAAATTGGGAACAAGGAGTAAGACTTAAGTATCATTTCTTGAAGCCTACATTTTTACCAAGTAATTGCATATAAAGTAAAACGTATTTGAAAAAAATATTGATTGAAATGCACAATTCATTTGGAAAATATAAGTTCTGTGCCACAACCAAACATCAAGCAAGGCACATTGTAGCAAGGTAATTTGTATTCAAAAAGAAACAAATCAAGTAGGAATAATTACATTAGTTCCCCAATAAATGTTATTGTACCATTTTCTACAATTTGCCAAGTTGCATTTGTCAGATTTCCAAATATTCTACATGGTCATTGAAACATTACATTTGAATCCAGACCTTTATTCTTGTTCTTTTTTTTTTAGCAGTTTTTCCCCCCTGATGGCATCTTTGGTTTTAGAGATTTCCCTTCCAATTTGCCAAAATTTTAGACAAAGTCTGATTGTTTCAATAGTCCTTGTTGGTTTTAAAGATCATCAAGATCATGCATACAGTATATAGACTAATTTAGGGGTCTTAACACTGATCCCTGAGGTACACCTTTATATTACTGGAAGGTTCAAGTGTAAGTTTATCGCACTTCATGCTGTTAGATTTTTAAGATATCTGTGCTTTAGATTTAGA